TTGTCCTTCAAACAATTTCACCTTTTCTTCCAGCAGCTTCTGGATCTTACGCAATGGCTTAAACCCTTCCGGTATCTGCATCAGGCCGCGGAATAGTTTTTCCACCTGCTCTTTACCAATACCCGTTTCAGGGCTTTGCAGGAAATCTTCCGGCTTTGCGCGCGACAATTTCTGCCAGGCTTGTTCCGGTCCCTGCAACTGGTAAGGGATGGGCTTTTGCTTAATATCGTCCAGGCGCTCCTGTAAGTTTTTCCAGAAAGCGGCTTCCATTTCTTTAGCAAGCTCTGCATCCACATCACCACGCTCAATCAGCTGCTTGTTGTACACCTCACGCGGATTAGGATGTGCTTTGATCAGCTCATACATCTTGGGCTGGGTAAAGCTCGGATCATCTCCTTCGTTATGTCCGTGGCGGCGATAGCACACCATATCAATAAAGATATCCTGGTTGAACTCCTGGCGGTATTTTACGGCCAGCATCGCTGCTTTTACCACAGCTTCCGGGTCATCACCATTTACGTGCAGTACCGGTGCATGTACCAGCGATGCAATGCTGGTGCAGTAATCCGAAGAACGGGCATCATCAAAATCGGTGGTAAAGCCGATCTGGTTATTAATCACAAAATGGATGGTTCCTCCTGTGGAATAACCTTCCAGCTTGCTCATTTGTAATAATTCATAAACAACACCCTGGCCGGCGATGGCAGCATCTCCATGTATCAGGATCGGCAATACGCTATCATACTCATGGTCATATAAGACATCTGCCTTGGCCCGTGCAAAACCGGTAACAACAGGATCTACTACTTCCAGGTGGGAAGGGTTCGGCGTCAGCTGTACATTAATATCAATACCGGATGGCGTCTTGATATTAGAGCGGAAACCAAGGTGGTATTTTACATCGCCGCTACCCATGGTCGTGTCCGCAGGCATATTTCCTTCAAATTCAGAAAATATCTGCTCATAGGTTTTGCCCAGTGTATTGGCCAGGATATTAAGGCGGCCACGGTGTGCCATCCCAATCGTTACTTCCTGTACACCGGCAGCAGCCGCTTCGTTGATAATGGTATCCAGGGCAGGAATAGTGCTCTCACCGCCTTCCAGTGAAAAGCGCTTTTGCCCGATGTATTTGGTATGAAGGAATTTTTCAAAGATCACGCCTTCGTTCAATTTGAACAGGATGCGTTTCTTTTGGTCGAGGCTGAACTGTTGCGTCTGCATCTGTTCAAACTCCTGCTCAATCCAGCCACATCTTTTCTTGTTTGTGATGTAAGTGTATTCAATGCCTACATCACCGGCATATACTTTTTTCAGGTGAGCGATCACGTCTTCCAGCGTAGCGCCGTCCTTACCGGCAAAACGTGCTGCCGCAAAAACAGTTTTCAGATCTGCTTCCGTCAGGC